TGCAGAGGGGCGGGATATAAATAAATAAATATTATTATATTATTATTAGCAGCAACAGCCAGTGGCAGGCATGTGGCATTGATGCCTTTCTATAACCCTGTATGGTGATAATGCTGCTTGCATAAGGAGGTCTGCAGAGAGTTTTTGTGATAGGGATGTCTGCAGCAAAGACTCTAATTCTACAGCAAAGACTCCTACCATACATGGAGCATGAAATCCCAGAGGTGCAAGCTAGATTCAGGAAAGGAAGAGGCACTAGGGATCACATTGCAACCCATTCTCACGTCATTTAGTGCTCCTGCCTCTGGTCCTCCTACCTTTCGACATCTCTGTTGCTACTAGTACAGTGGGCCCTCCGCATTCGCTGGAGTTAGGGGCACAGCCCCCCCCCCCCGTGAAAGTGGAGAAACTGCAAATAAAAAAAAAAGAATGCTGTCTTTTTAACATGAGAGAAGACCTCTCTAGGATTCTCTAGGTCCTCCAAGGCAATTCTGTGGTCAAGATCTGCCAGAGGTTGACCATGAAATTGTGCTGGAGGACCTACAAATGGCTAGAGAAGCATTTTTTTCTAGGAATCTCTAGGTCCTCCAATGTGACTTTTGGCAGAAGTTGACAATAGAGTCATGTTGGAGGACCTAGAGAGAACATATTAATCAAATCTGTGATCAATCAAAGCTGCAAAAGTCAAAGCTAAAAAGGTGGAGGGCCAACTGTGGTGACGGTGTGTGCCTTCAAGTCATTTCTGACTTACGGCGACCCTATCATAGGGTTTTCTTGGCCAGTTTACTTCAGAGGGCCATCCTCTGAGGCTGAGATAGTGTGACTTATCCAGGGCCACCCAGTGGGATTTCCATGGCCAAACTGGGATTTGAGCCCTGGTCTCCAGAGTTGCATCAAACCACTATGCCACACTGACTCTCACATAATAATATTGTGTGTGTGTGTAGGAGCAGACCAGAGAATTTCAGAAAAAAATCTGCATGAGCTATTCTGAGCTTGGTTGTTGTTAACCACCCTTGAGTTGATCTTGACCCATGGAGACCCTGTGCATGAGAATTCTCCAGCTCCCTGTCCTCCACTGCTCTGGTTAGGTCCTGTAGTTTCATACCCATGACCTCCCTAATAGAGTCCATCCATCTAGCATGCAGCCTTCCTCTCTTTCTACTTTCCTTCACTTTTCCTAGCATATTGTTTTTTTCCAGTGAGTTCTCCCTTCTCGTGACATGACCAAAATATAACAACCTCAGATTTGTTTATCTTGGCTTCCAGAGAGATTTCTGGCTTGATCTGTTCTAGGACCCCGACAGGATCCTCAACACTCTTCTCCAGCACTACATTATCTCAAATGAATTGATTTTATTCCTATTATCTTTCTTAACTGTCCAGCTCCCACATCCACACATGGTAAAAGGGAATATGATGGCTTGTATGATTCTGACTTTTGTGCTGAGTTGTACGTCTTTGCATTTTAGGATCTTTTCTAGTTCTTTCATAGCCATCCTCCCCATTCTTAGTCTTCTTCTGATTTCCTGACTGCAGTCCCCATTTCTATCAATGTTTGATCCCAGGTATGGGAATTATTTTACTATTTCTATTTATTCATTGTCTAGGTTGAAGTTGTTAAGGTCTTTAGTTAGCATTATTTTTGTTTTCTTTATGTTTCATGCCTTTGCACTTTCTTCTTTGATCTTCCTTAATAGGTGTTCCAGGTC